AAGCGACCTGTGGAACCGTTCACGCATCGCATTAGCTTGCGGGTTGTATGCGGTTGCGCGGTGGACCTTGGCCCTCAGTCCATCAGCCATAGCCGACCAAAGCTCAGAAACGAACTGGGGGCCTCTGTCTGAGGTAATGTCCGCAGGGGGTGCCGAAGCGCAAAACCCAGGTTGACAAAAGCGCCTTGGCCACCACTGCTGCGGTCCGCCAGGGGGACCGCCTCCAGCCACCGGGTGATGCAGTCAACAATAGTCAAAAGGTGTGTAAAACCTTGTGACTGCGGCAGAGGACCCACCAGATCAACATGGACATGATCGAAACGTTTGCCAGGTATGAAGAACTGCTCCAGGGGTGCCTTGGTGTGTTTATGAACATTTGCACACCGGCATGGAATGCACGCCACCACCCATTCCTTCACCGATTTGTGAAGGCCCGGGCAAACAAACTTAGAGCTGACCACTTTAACAGAGGCCCAAAAACTTGACGACGCCATTAAACAGGAACTACTGGGCAAGGGCGGCCGATGGAAACGTCACAGACCAGGAGAGGGCCGCCGTCCTGTACAGGTATGTCTTCCAGTATGAGGCCCGTCTGCGTGGATTTAAGCGCGAGGATGTCTGGGTCACTGCTCTGATCGGCAGCTATGGAAGAATAGTCTATGCCGACAAAGACGGGAGAAACCAGCGCACGGGACAAACAGTCCGCCACATGATTGGACTTACCAGCCACGTGCTGAATGTCCGTGGTAAACTCAAAAATGGCTGCCAACTGGCGCTGCTGGCGCACACTCCATGGATCAGAAACCTTGGACATTGTAAACATCAAGGGTTTGTGGTCCACATACGAGGTAAAGTGATGACCCCCAAGAAAAAAACGGAAATGACAAGTCGCCAGGTGGAGAGCTAGTAGCTCCCTGTCAAAAACGCTGTAATTGCGCTCGCTGTCTTGTAGTGTACGGCTGAAAAGGTGAGCGGTTGCCAGACACCCGAGATTCACTGTTCCAGCACCGCACCCACCGCTATCTCCGACGCATCGGTGGTCAACGCAATCTGCGCCGACGGGGATGGGTGAGCCAGAAGGGCAGCATTAGCTAACGCCGGCTTAGCATCAGAAAATGCTTGGATGCTTTCCGGAAACCAGTCAACGGAGTCATTAGCCTTCTTACCTTTTTAACTCCCCATAAAGGGGCTGCAGCAGATGTGCCACTCTGGGGAGAAAACGGTTGTAAAAATTCACCATCTCCAAAAATTCCTGCAGTGCCTTAACAGACGTGGCACGCGGAAAATCAGAAACAGCTCTAACTTTGTCAGGCAACGGAACCGTGCCCTCGGCAGAAATACGGTGCCCAAGGAAGTCGAGAACGGGCAACCCAAACTGGCATATAGATGGATTAATGATCAGTCCATGTTCCGCCAAACGCCGAAAAACCTGACGCAGATGGAACATGTGTTGCTCCTCCGAACTACTGGCCACCAGTATATCATCAAGATATACAAAAACAAAGGGCAGCCCGTGCAAGACCGAGTCCATCAACCGCTGGAAGGTTTGGGCGGAACCTTTCAGGCAAAAAGGCATGTGCAGAAACTCGAAAAGGCCGAAAGGTGTAATGACGGCGGTGTTGGGGACATCCTCAGCGTGCACGGGAACCTGGTGATATCCCCGTACCAAATTGATCTTCGAAAAAACAGGTCCCCGCAAGATGGGCGGAAAAATATTGGATGTGGGGAATGGGATAACGATCGTTCTCTGTGACATTATTGAGACGGCGGAAATCCCCACAAGGTCGCCACCGACCATCAGATTTGGGCACCATGTGTAATGGGGAAGCCCAGGCACTGTTCGAACGCTGCACGATGCCCAGGCGCTCCATGGTGGCAAACTCCTCCCGAGCAACAGCCAGTTTGGCAGGGTCGAGGCGGCGCGCACGCGCGAACACCGGGGGCCCTTCTGTGCTTTGTCACAGTGCTCGAGAAAGTGGGGACAGTGAGTGAGGGAAAATCAGAAAGCAAACACTGAAAAGCGTCACCAGAAGCTACTGAGTTAGCATGCACCACGGGCTGAGCACTACTTTACACTACATTCAGTCATTCACCCATTCACACACACATTCACACACTGGCGATGGCAAGCTACATTGTAGCCACAGCTGCCCTGGGGCGCACTGACAGAGGCGAGGCTGCCAGACACAGGCGCCACCGGGCCCTCTGACCACCACCAGTAATTACTATGCACTTAATGCAGACGTATTATTAAAATTTGGGCTATAATGGTTGTATTGGTGTATAGCAACTTGAAATGCTCCAAAAAATGGCTCCACAGCATGTAAAAATATACTATAAGCTCTGGCGGACTTGGTTCTATGGTAGGTCTTAAAGGGTTAACATTCTAGCTTATACCCCTAATTCAACATTGTCATCTCTATATAAAGTTTTAATCTGAAACAAAGTTCATACCTGACCCCTCAAACTAATTTTTTTTATTTTCACAATGCAAAATTTCAAGTACACAGAATTTGTGGAATTTGGATTGAAATTTTTTCCAGTCACTTACCAAAAAGCTATATTAGAAAATAATTTTAACACAAAAGGAATCAGGTCGAAGCCTGGCATGTAAAATCGAGATGTTTTTTCCTGTATTGACCAACCACCTAACCCAGATGTTGATATCACAATTGAAATTATCAGTTGATTATCAGGTTTGTAAACATCCAGTGGTCACAACCAATGGTTATTTTTGTTATTCTACATCCAGACATTACATAAAATATAAATGGTGCACTTTTCCTATTGAAACTATGGTGAATCCCACTTACACTGATCAACTGCAACGACTACAACTTCAACAACATGCTGACACACGTTGAAAAGTAGAAACAAAGCTCACTGAAAGCATTTCACAGGGAGGCTCATTTACCTTCCAAGGAAATAAGTATGGGGAATGCTCACATTCAGGTTAAGGCTGAAGTCCACAAACCAGTGATCTAGGTCATTGTATCTGTAGATATCTTCCATAGTAGAGTTTGTCACCAAAGACTGCATGTGTGTACTTTTGTCTCTTTTACAACCTCATATAACTTTTATAGTTTGGTCTGTTGCATGTGATAGTGAGCTTTGTATCAATAATAAATCATTTAAATGTTTCCATCCAAATGTGCCCGTCTCTACCTGTCCTTTCCCCTTCTACAGTTTGCGCATCACATGGTGGTCCAAGACAAAGGATGCGTCTCAATGGATTCTCGTATATGTCCAGTAGTGATGAAGTGCGGAAGAAATATGTATCTTAATTACTTTGAAAGAAACGTTGGCAGGAAAGAAGTCTTGGCAATGCGAAAACATTGTAACTGGAAATTTTACTATGTTTTGTGCTGTTTTTAATTGACAAAAACCTTTAATTGTTACAGTCAAGGAAGCTGACTGTGTGGAGTGAGGAGGAGGAGCCAAGTGCATACATCTGTCAACAAAACTTAAACTTAACAGAAAATTTCGACACTACAAAACAAATTAAAATCCTAGAAACCATGGCATGAGCACAGCAGTATAGCAGGACGACCAGACAAGGAATGAAAGGCACTCAGAGATTAAATACACACCGGTGGTGATCAGGGGAAGTACAAACATGTGTGGAAACAGCTGATTCGAATGAACATAATGACACCAGGATTGGAAGAACATTTACCATGAGCAACATTCCTATGCTTTTTAATGAAATGGGATTCACCTTTACCTTCCATTACATAATGAATTAACAAAAATCACTGATTTATCTTGATTTGGGAAGCCTGCATGGAAAATTCTGATTGTCCAAATTTAGATCTTCAATACAATATCTTGTGGTTGCCATTCAACATGCTCCTAGTAATACGATTACTATCGTGTCTTTGGATGGATCTATCAAGACACTCTGAGGCCAGCCATTTATACAGTGGAAAACTAATTTAAGAAAACACAAATGATTAAAACTCTTAAAACTAATAAATTATATTTCTTTAAAATGTGACAATGATGTCACCAAACAGATTTTTTATCCATTGTTTTTAAAAATTGATTATATAAGAATATCACATGCTGAAGCATGAGAGAATACCATGGGATGCATAAATAACTAAGCTGCTGAAGTAGGTATGTAATGCTCAATTAACTTAAAACAATTCAAACTAGCCTTAACCATCTTTGAAATCTTCATTACATGCTTATCAAATTTACACTGACACAGGCAGCATTTAAGCATTTAGAGCATAAGAATAATTCTTTAACTGGTATTTGTGTGAAATACCCACAAAGCTCTTAAAGCCTAAAGCACTGTCACCAAGCACTTGGTGAAAGTGGGAATGAAACTCTCTTTTAACAGGAAGAAACTTCCAGCACAAACAAGCTAAGGGAGGAGCAGCTATCTACTGCAATTGGTAAGCGGTGATGGGAGAAAGACCGGAAAAAAGGCACAGTGTGGAAGAGAGACAGAGATCAGACTAAGGCTCAGCTTTATTGTCATTCAGTTGTTTGACATGGAATAAAGGAAACATGGTTTCTTAGGTCTCAGTACTGCAATATGCTTCCAAACAACAGATACAACAGTATAACTAACTAGAATAAATACTCAAATAAATATATAAAAATATAAACATATAAAATATATATATAAAAACTATGTATTAAAATGTACAAAAATAAATCGACCTTAACCCTTTCATGAAAAGTGGTCACAGGCTGTCAAACACACCCTACCTCCACCCTGAGTTGAGAATAACTGCAATGCCAACACTCATGGATATTACACATAATGCAACCAACATTCCTACCTCGTTAAACTGTATTTATTACAGCACAACAGCAGGGCTGTAAAGTAGGTTATAAAACATGTGCCTCTTTTATTTGTCCTTTGACTTGTCATCAATCTACACACGTTTGCAGGTACTGCCTGAAAAACAAGACAAGAGCCCACTAAACAACAGCAACAGCTGGTTGGTGGCTAACAGCTGCAGAAACAGCAGCACCAACAGAAATGTTCAGTATCGCTGTCATCAGTGTGTACAAATTTTTATTTAATTATTTTTACACAAATGAAAGTAAAGACACGACAGACAGCTGTGATTGTTATAGGGTACTTTCAACAACAGAAAACAAAGTGAAATTAATCTAAACTTAAGGTAGACCAGCTAAACAAACAGAGGAAGGTAAACAGGCATTGCAACAAGCAACTAGGAAAAACTATAGCTCTAAATATACTGAAATAACGAAGGAGGGAAACATGGGGAAACACAGCTGAAACTAATCATGCTAGACAAGACAATAGAATCAAAACTAAGCACAGCACACACAAGATGAAAGACAGGATAAAATAAAACAGGAAGTAACTAAGTGGTTTTACAAGCAGAGATAAAAAAAAAATTAAAAGAAAACTTGACAAGAAGGCACGGGGAACACAAGGTGCCGATGATGAACAAAGGGCTAAATACTAAGACATTACAACTATGAAAAACCACATAACTAAAAAATATGAAGACAATAAAAACTCAAACCATGAATAAAACTGGAACTAATGACGCTGATCTCAGAATGTTAAAAAAACATGCGTTTCAAAGTCCAAACACAAAATGCTGGGTCAACGACCAAGGACCATGACGTTTACAACTCTTCACTGCTCATGGAAAGTCATAAAGGAAGTTATTGTTCTTACACTGAGGTGTCATCATAGACATACCTCTGCACACCTACACATCCTCTAAGTCTCTAACCTAGAGCCATGTTTAACATGATAATTTTACCCAAAGTGACCTATGCATGGGAATTTTACAGTCAGATATGTTTCTCAAATGCATTACCTGAGTTGAGGTTTTGATTTTTGACAAGCTCAGCATTCAATCTGGCTGATCTTGGCCTTTTATCTCTTTCCAGGGGGGAAGTAAGAGAAACAGTTTCTTAAAAAATATCCACTGACTAGTTGAAAACTGTGTCAGAGTAAAGTAAGTGATTTGTGTAGATTGATAGGGTGGTGACCGTGCTTTTATTCGACAGATATCACTAAAAAAAACATTTTTTTTGTGTGGGAATAGACTGTTTGACGAGGGCTGTGCCTTTTGTTTAATGCAGTTAAAATGAAAAAAATATATAATTTTTTATACTTCTTTGTTCTTTTCTCTGTTAAGTTCAGATAAAATATGAGCATCAAATATAGCCAATGTTTATTAAAAAGACAAATGTGTTTACATTTTTTTTATTGAATGGAAGTTTTAGAATGCAAAGTGTGTAAAGTATAATGTTTTCCTCTATAAAAATAAATTACTTGCTTTTCTTTGATATACATTGGATTTAAAATCAAGCATTAACAGTGAGAGTACAATGCTGATCTTCAACTTGGATTTTATCTTCATTACATTCACTGCAATATGAATATGAGAAGAAATGCAATCTTCTAAATACTGCTGGAGATTAACTTCTAGTGAAGCTGCCATCCCTCTTTAACAAATGAAGCAAAATAAGTTTAAAATAGAAAGTGATGTCCACAGACAAAGACAATGTTGATGCGTTTGTCCAACATATCCATCTACAAACTCACATAAGTCTGGTGCAGAAATTTAATGTGAGTTTTGTCCATTATGTATAGTAAATATAGAAGCATCACGTCTCCAGCCCTGTTGTTGCGGTTGTTGCAATTGACGTTGTTCCGGTTGCTCCTGCTGATGTTGTGGTTGTTGCCACTGATGTTTTTGAGGTTGTTGCCACCGAGGCCATTGACTTTGTGGTTGTTGCGACTGATCATGTAGTGGCTGTTGCCACTGTTGTTTCTGTTGTAGTTGCAACAGTTGTTGTGGTTGTTGCTGCTCTTCTTCTTCTTCTTCCTCTTCTTCTTCTACACCAGCAGACAACTTCATGATTAAGAAACACAGGAGGCCATTGAAAATTAGCTGAAGGTTTGTGAAGAATAGAACATTCTTATAAATCATTTCACTGTCAGAGGTGCCGATGATGTTGAATAGGCACTCAAGAATAAAACTGGGGAGGAAGACAACCAAGAAAATATACATGGCGAGTGCCGTGATCAGTTTCTTCTCTTTGGCAGGTGCAGGAGATGCAGCTGACAATCTAAAGTTCATAATGACACCCAAAGCCAACCCAATGGTGATAACTCCCAAAACGTAGATGGCCACCTGTTTTACAAATGCATAAACAGGGGACAAAACACAAATCAAAATGGAAATTACTGTTAAAAAATAGCACTGTTTGGATTTGCTTTTTGGATGAATAAAGCAATGCAGGCACCAAGCAGAGGTCAGGAGATGTAAAATCACTCCATATAATCTGGTCAACACCCATGCGACTGAAAGCCATGAAGAACTGCAAGAGATTCCACAGTCGGAGATAGACTCAACATATCCACTTCCTACACTTATTCCCATGAAAAAATTTACAATATCCACGCAGATCATATAGGTAAGAGGACAGCGGATGTGCTTAATGAGCCTGCGCTGATAAAAGAAAACGCAGATATAGGTAACCATGCCCAGCAGAGAGGTGGACAGAAGAATTCCTCCAGCCAAATTGCGGTCTTCATAAACACCTGCTCTGGTGTTCCCCATTATGTGATGGTCTTAACTAGTTTTATGGACCTAATGGAGGAGACAAAGTAAAACAGAATTTTTTTTTTCTATTTAAAAAAAAATGTTACATGACCACACATAACTTTCTATAATCTTTTCCACACCAGTCAGACATTTCATGTTAAAAGTGTTAGAATGCAGATTGACAAATTCGTAAGAGGAATTATTTTATGTATAAAACAATGGTAAATATAACTATACAGCTTGGGTCATCCATGATGCCACTTGGACACAATGTGACCATTTAAAGGTTAAATTCTGACATTTTTTTTCTCAGTGCCTATTGTACTACTTTTAATGTATTTGCTGTCATAACTGAATTCAACATATTTGTTTTTGCAAATTAGCCTATAAAACAACTTGCTGAAGACTGCAATATCTCTACTTAATGCTTCATTGAAATCGGGAAAACTAAAAGTTATCCACAGCAAAAATATTAAAATCACCTCAACGCATATTTTTTAGAAATTAACAAAACAGGTTCAACATGTTTTTCTTTTTTTATCTTCACACAATGCATTATGTTCATTGTCCAATTTTCATTGCACTGTGTAAAGAAATGAAAAAAATTATTACTGATTACAAGTGATGAAACTGCAAAATGTTTACTTTTCACAGATGTAATCCAAATACATTTATCAGCATTAAAAGAATTAAAAGTAAGAAAACATTTAAATTGTACTCCTACCTGTAGGTACTGACCATCTGTTGCCAAGCGAAAGCTTCTGAGTGACAAACACGTCTCTTTGTTCAGTATGTTTATGGCTCTGAAGTGCCTTGTAAAACCCTTGGCACATGATTTCCAAACACACCCACTTTTAGCGATGAATTTACTTTGAAAGCAGGCAGCACTCTGAATGCATGTTTCTTTTTGGTGAAATGGGATCTAACTTTGGTCACATTTCTTTACACTGAAACTGAATTCACTTCATTTTAATTGTGAGGGATTATATGATGTAAAAGACATAAAAAATTTGCACTTTTTATACTTTTATTGAAGCCTGGGGAAATCTGCTGACAAAGTATGAGATTAAAAAAAATAGTGCAGAATTTTATAAGATAATAAAATCTTCTTGCCACATTGATTCAGTTTGCATTATGCAACATCCATCATGTGAAAAACAATGCCAGATGTAGCAAATATGATTGTAATCTTAGTCACGACACGTAACACATCGTACTTGAGACCTTAAACAATTATTTCATGCCTTGGGCTTTAAAGGATTAAACATTGCTTTTACCTGGAAAACTTTTTTTGAGCCACTTTTGGGGTGGAATGCTCAAATGAAAATGGGTGGTGGTCATTTTCATGGTGAACACAGCTGGGTGGTTTCACCTGCAATTTTAGGATAAAGATTTAGTGCTAAAAACTATCTAGTAATGTAAAGTATTTTTGCCTGATAATAGCTATAAATATATTAGAGAAGCATGGCACACAACATCATTGTATTTGCACAGCTGATGCTCATGACTCAGCTGTGTCTATGAGCATTAATTATGATCTTGCTCTTACTGGTCATGGGTTCTCTCCGGGTATTCCAGCCTTCTCCCACAGTCCAAAGTCATGCAGTTAGTGGAGCTGGGTTAATTTGAGATTCTAAATTGCTCATAGGACTGAATGGGAGTGTGAATGGTTTTGTATCACTCTATGTTAATACTGCATTGGACTGGCGACCTGTCCTGGGAGTACCCTGCCTCTTAACCCATGTTGCTGGGATAGATTCCAGCTCCAGATCATTTGTAACCTTCACAAAAGCCTTTTCAGTTCTGTGATGAGCTCTGAAACCTGACTAAAACTCTTCATATAAACTATTCCTCTGCAGATGATCAGTTAGCGGTTTTAAAACTAGTCTTTCAAGACTTTTTAAGATAAAAAGTCTTGAGATTGAACTATAAGTAGCTAGGATAGCTTTGTCAAGTGATGACTTTTTAAATGGTCAGATTATTGCCACCTTAAAGGCCTGTGGTATGTAGCCTATTAATAGAGATAGATTGATCATATTTGAGGTTTAACGGTTAATTAATAATAGGATAATTTAAACAGTCGTAAAGGCATGGGAACTAAAAGATGGAGGAGGAAGTCAAATTGATTGATTGAGTTAATTATTGAAGTTCAGAAGGATCAATAAGACAGGACTCTAATATCAACAGTATTGAAACTAGCTATACATAATGACACTGTCTCTATTATTGAGTAATTGTTTCCTCTAATTGTTAACCTTTCATTTATTAGGAAATTCATGAAGTCAGGGTTAGGGTTAACCCTAACAGTTAAGGTTAAAGGAATACTCAACAGATAGTTCAGCTGAGTGCTCGCTCTTTGCTAGCCTTGCTACCGTGCTGAAGGAAAATCTGGGATGGTTCTCATTTTCTTCAACAAACAACAACAAACTCTTTTTCATGGATAAATCAAGATGTTCTAAAATGGTGAAATAATATTTTCTCTCAAGTTTATGCTTTAAGGTGTTTGAGAGTTGTACCAGGGAGTCAAGTAATTCTGACTTGAGGTTTTCTCTTTCAAAGGAGCCATCACTTCCAGAGCCATTTTCAGTGATGATGTAACCATATTAACAAGATAATCAACTTCTATGGGAATATGTCTTGGAATGAAAATGTCAGGACTTCTTTAGGTTCAGGGCAGGGATAACTCAGTAGGTAAAGTGTTGGCCCTGTGATCGGAAGCTCAGGGGTTCAAGTCCCCTGAACAGCTACCCTGAGGTACCCCTGAGCAAGGTACCGTCCCTACACGCTGCTCCCTGGGCGCCCAGTGGCAGCCCACTGCTTCACTGAGTGAATGGGTTAAAAGCAGAGAGGAATTTCCCCACGGGGATCAATAAAGTATACATTATTATTATCCCCGAAGCTTATTCAGTTCTAAGAGCAATTCCTGAAGAGTCCCAGATTTTAAACCCCATGAGAGTGTCCCCCCTAGCCACACTTATTCAGTGTTATTCAGAATAAAAAGGGAATTTAATTTGTGCATTTGTGAAGACGACCCCACTCAACCCTAATCTCTGCATTGCATTCATTGAATACCCTGCAGTGTTATTGTGTTATTTCTTAGATCTGAGTGAAAACCAAATTCTTCTTGTAGTTGTGTAAGGATATACAATACTAATGATGTAGGTACTGATGATACTAACAACAAATATGACGTGGGCATAAAAAAAAATGATGTTCTGGGTTGTTGCATAGTTTAAGCACAGAAATGAACTGATATGATGTTATATTGAAATCTAATTGACTTTGGCACAGTGGTAAAATATTTACCAACTACAGTGCTGTCTAATTGTTCACCACTGGAGGGAGTAGGAACAACAGTAGAAGGAACATGATCTAGTGTGTGAGTATGAGAAATACTAGCTAGATGTGGTCAGGCCTCAATGCATGGCTTGTGCTTAGGAACCAAGGGAAGGGGTGTCGGATTCAGTTCCTGAGTTGCCCTCAGTCAGAGGCAGTGAGCAGGGGTGGGTATACTTGTATACACCTGGCTCCTCCCATTGTCCTCCCATCACCCCCACTCAGATGGCTTGTTGAGCCTGGTTGAGCTGGTGGGGGGGGTTTCTTGACAAAAGTGACTTTCTACCGCCCCACTGTTGCCAAGTTAATGCATATTAGATCATTAAGTACTTAGTAATTGTAGGATTAAAGAAATTATTCACTGCTACTGTTCATAATCATCTTTATCATTGCATTAATCATCATTTCATCAAAGTATTTATTGAAGCTGTTGGCATTATGTTATAATTTGTATTACAGGTGTTATCATAATCACACTAACCTTTATTACAGGTGCAGTTATGACCACTTTAAACTGTTGAGTTTAAATTTAGAATCTTAAATGCTTATATGCTGATTATATTGGGTTATATAAGAAAGGCCCAACTCTGAGTACAGTCTGTGCCAAAAGTCTTGACAGGAAACTGCATGCTTTTGCAGAGCATGCTTTTGCACCCAGAAAGTGAAACTAAGCAGAGTGTAAGTGATGTGGAGCTTAGATGGTTAATCTTACAGTAAAAATAGTAGCTGAGCAGAGGCCTGAGTGTATTCAGCAACCTGCTGCGTTGGAGTTTGCTTGGTAACAGATGACTCAGAATAAGTCAGGAAGTGTACTTCTAAAATGTCTTTGTTTCCTCTGTAAAGTGTGCATTTTTTGGTGGTTATTTTTAGGAGCTGTCTGGATGAGGTTTTGAATAATCAGGTTATTCATTATTATCTTTTATTCGTTTATATTCTTTTTTTATTAAGCTTTGAGTAGTGGCATTTAATTAAAGCATTTATTCAATATATACATATATAGTTTTAGTTAGATTTTTACACATATGAGAGTGGCCTCTGTCTGGTTGTGAGTTTTAGTAGGCGAGGTGAGAGGTGAAACAGAGTGCCTGCAGAATTGACAGTTTTGTTGCAGAGCATGCATCTGAGGTTTTGGAGAAGCAAGAGCGAGACGAGCTACAGGAAGCACCTGGCTTGGAGGCGAAGAAAATGTTCTTTTCTGACTGTGTCAAAACAGAACATTTGTGGTTTTGAAAGTTATGCATATATTGTATCTGCTTGACGCATGAGGGGGCGTCATAAATAATACCCTGATGCTCTAAAAACAATGTAGTGTTCATCTCCCCACACGTGTGTTCATTAAAATCATCGTTTGACCTAACTCTCCTGGACCAGTGTTATGATTTTGGATTCCTCCTGTATCCCTCCTAAATATTTGAACCCTTAACATAATCTAGTAAGTTGATTTACAGGTGAAACTGTACATTTGTAAAGAAATGTGCCACGATATATGAGTAATGCATTTAAATATTTATTCATGCTTGATATTGTCATGGTCCTGGGTCATTTTGACCCAGCGTTTTGTGTTTCCCTGGATTTCATTTTGTGTTTATTCTGATTTTGTATTAGTGTTGAACCTGGAGTTTAGTGTTTTATCAGCCCTACCTGTGTCTGTCCTCGGTGCTCTGTTCATGTCCCCGTGTTTGTGTTGTAAAACAGTCTGTGTGTTTCCTGTTTTACTTTGAAGGTTCGTGTCTCGTCTGGTGAATTAGGTTCAGCTGTGCTCCCCTCCTGTGTGCCATTCCCTCATTACCTTCTGTGTATTTATAGGGTGTGTCTGCCAGTGTCCCTCATCGTGTCGTTTGTGTTCATCTTCGGTGAATCCTCTCTGCCCCTCTCTGCCCCTCTCTGCCCCTCTCTGCCCCTCTCTGCCCCTCTCTGCCCCTCGCCGCCCCTCGCCGCCCCTCGCCCTCCTTTTGTTATTAGTTTCCCCAGTCTAGGTTTCTTTAGTTCTGTCCTGGCTTTGGTTATATTTCACTGTAAATAAATCCTCATTCGCATCTCCCCCGCCATCTGCATCTTGGGTCCTCATTCATTCCACAACACGTCTGGGTTGGGTTGCAGGAATTTTCCTATTGTATTTGATGACTACCACCAGGACTGGACTGCTTTTAACAGGGTCAAAAGAAACGGGTAAATAAGATTGCACAGCAGCAACCTGTTCTGAGTTTGTTTTTACCAGTTGCACTTTTGCATTATGTGTAATGTAATTTCGGTCAGTGATCAAGGAGATGGTTTTGTGATTTGTACTGACACTGCAACAATACAGTATCAGAGTTTAAGGGAAATCACAAATCACCAAATTTAATTACTGTTGTAAGAATTTCATGAATTTACAGGTGATTACCCTTTTGGTTCTATACTTGTTTTTACAGTTTTATTGAA